ATCTTTTGCACGATTTCCAGAGCTTTGCGATATCACAGTTCGCATACCAACCCTTTACTAAAACCCAAAGGTATATTTTGAGTACAGCTTGAGGTGTAAAGTACATCTGTAAAGATGATTTACATCTGTAAAGATGATACATTTACCAGGAATGTACTCAGCTCTTGCTTGTAGCTTTAGCTTCTTCAAGAAAAAAGTACTTGCTTTGTGAAGAGTTACTATGTAAAAAAGGAGACGTTTGAACATGTCTTTTAGACTCCCCTGCCAAATCTGTATAAGCTGCTGATATAAAGTAGAATAATCACTATCTTACATTGCTTAAGATTCAGACAGATCAGTGGCTCCTTAAGTCCCTTGGATCAAGTTAGAATTAATATATGATAAAGCAAAAATACCATTTAGTTCTTTTGTGTGTGGAACATCTGAAAATCTTTGGAAACGTCTGGTGGTGCATAAGTCCAGGTATTGTGAACATCTATTCAAAGTTAAATATTTAAGATATTTTAATTTTTTTTTTAAATCTGTATTCTCCCATTTGTCCTCCCCCTTTTGATTACTATAGTGATTACTGTATGAAACTGGCACTTCAGACTTCCAGGATAGTTTTATTTATTTTTAATTTCCTTTGTGAGCTGTTTTATCATGAGCAACTATTTTTCGTCTTTGCCTCTCTAAAATTTCAGCATGTTAGTTTTTTATATGATACAGTTCTTTTGTGTTTGATTTTTTCAGTGTTTTTCTAAAGAAGTTGGCCCAAGGTAGTCCCCATATTTTTTCAACTGCACTTACATTTTCTATTTAAATCTGCATTTTGCCTGCCTCTGCTCTTATATGCCTAGTCCTTAAATCCTTTATTAAAATTCCTGGGTTTTTATAATTTCCTCCATACTCATTTTAAACTGGATGAACACAACACAGTAATGTTGATGGATTACTTTTATATGTTTGGATTTGAATTTCTAATCTGCAAACCATTCATATTTTTGTCTCTTCTTTCATTAAAGAAAATGAATGTACCCAGAAATAGTCAACTTTTTATTCTATCTTTAATAAAAATGAAGACGATCAAACTGGAAGCCACACTTCAGCACAACAGTTCAAGTATTATTATTTCTATTTATTTATTTTATGGAGCTGTCATTTGGCATGAGGGAAAGAAATGAGACTTGAAAAAATACGAGGGATAAAAAGACATTGCTTTATTATGAGGGGAACGGTAACAGTCTGGCTATTTTAGTGTTCCTTTCTGAGCTGTCTGCAAGTTTCACATTTGCATGCTATGGCGACAGGCATTTTTAGTGTTCGCTAAAGTTAATGTTGTCTTGAAGTAATTAATTGGCAAAGAAGCTACTTACTGCTATCTGGGGTATTGTGGTTATACTGCAGTGATATCTCTGATTTCATTTTATCTAATATAATTTATTCCCATTTTCCTCTACCAATATAAAAAGTCTTAACAAGCGAATGCCCTCAACTTTTCTCTCAGGAGACATCCTGATGGTGGGTGACCTCACAGACCACTAAGCAAAAAGTTGTTCTTCCAAAATGCATAGAACTTCCTAGCTTCGAGCCGGTTTACCAAGAGATTTGTCAGAGATCTGGATCTGAAGCTCATCTCATATTTGGTAGTAGTGTATAGAACAAGCAGCTCTAATACAAGCTAACAGCCGTAACTGGGTAACACATAGCTTCCAAGGTGCCTGCTGACATGGGAAACGTTCCCCTCCACATGACCAGCTGTTTTGCATAGTGTTTTAGAATAAAATGCTACTAATTCTAAGAATAGTGACCGTGCATTTTTAATCTGCGTTGGTCACTAATCAATTGGAAACATGCAATGGTAAAAGAAAAGAACAGAGTAACTTTAAAAATTCACAGATAAAGTGATGGTGGTAGTTCTTGAAAGCTTACTTTTTATATTTCTAAATATCTATGTAGTACTAGGAACAGATTATAGGAAAATCTACCATAATACAAGACTTTATCAGAAGCCTGTTCTGTTGTTTTCCAGGGGGGAAAAAAAAAAGACTTTAAACATTTTATAAAATTTTATAAAAATATATTTGTAGCCTACTGTAAAATATTGGTGTAATCATTATTGATATTTGCAGTCTAGGAACTGTGACAGAGGATTAATTATGCCCCTAATTTCTGGAGCTATGAATAAGCAAAGTAATTTAGTTGAACTTTCATTGACATCTTGCCAGCGTATGTGCTCATTAATGTGATTTGTCTATTAGGCTCATACTCTAGTGGTTAATTTAATACTTAAATGCTAATAAAAATTACCAATATGGTAATCTGTGGAATTTAGTTGCTATGGGAGGGAGCATCTTTCATTTACTGCTGTTGTGCCTCAGGATTGGATAATCCCCAAATAAGAGGTTCCTAAAAAATATCTTCAGTGAAAGAATGTGAAAAGATAAAATGATACATTTCCAGAAAAGATAAAGACAGAACTAGTTAAATCCATTTCGGACTACTGAAGGCCATAGAGGTGATTTATATGCTGAAGACCATGTATTTATCCACACTTCTCAGGGTGAGAGTGGAATAAATAGACAGACCAAATGGTCCAGATGATTCTCCACTCGCTGCAGTGACTAGTCATTCAAATGCTGTGCTTTGCATTGTGTTTTAGTCCTATAGATTCCATATTGATCCATGCCAAGCCTCTAACAAAAGCTTTGCTTCCCAGCAGCAGTGAAAGCAAGACATCTCTTCTTCTAACAACTGCCAGCCTTCAGCAGTCATCTCTTCCTCGACCTGGTATTTTGAACACACCGGTGAGTCTGCGTGCGTGATCTAGTTTCATAGCTGAGCCTGCATAACATCTCTTAGGAAAAGTTCAAAAACTCTTGCAGCTTGCATTTTGTCCGGCTATTTTTCTTTGTATGTGTCACAGAATAACTGTAGAATGTAGTTATACAATATATGGAATAACATAGATGGCAGCGTACTGGCTGATATCAGGAAAGGGCTTTTGAAGTGGCCTGCCAATGTTTATGGTTTGGCATGGTTTTGCTGCATGTTTTCGAAAACACCGGCCATTTTCTTTCAGTCTAAACTTGAATGATACTCTCTGAGCACACACCTGCCACTATCCAGGAGCTGGGGCATGTGCAGACTAGACTTACTGACACCTGCAGGCCCCAAGGTATTTGGTATGGGGAGCTGAGTTGCTAACATATATTTACCTTAACATTTAGAGACCATTGCTTTGAAAAGTGAATATGTGTAAGCAGCCTTTGCAACCGGTATTTTTCTATGCAGTGCCAGCCTAGTCCAAGTCTCAAGGTAGAGACATCTTTGGCACTGTCTACAAAATGTTAAGTAGCCCTAAGCAGCTGGAAATAATGAGCAGATCAGCACATCACCATCAGAAAGCCTAGAAAAGAGGGGGTGGGGGGGTGGGGGTACAGGCTTAAAACAATCAGTTATTCAGTGGAGCATGGCTGAATAAGGAAGACCTTAATTCTGTTTCTCCTGAAAGAATACACTCTTCCAAGCACCCAGAATCAGCATTCACATTATTATGTTTCTTCTATGTGCATGCAATCAGTTTTGAGGACATCTGTTAGTGTTGTAATTTTCACAGCAATGTCAACTGAAAGAATTAAGCTACTATCAATAGACTTAATGAAAATATTTGAAATAAAATCACAGGAGATGCAACAACTGAGCTAATAAAGGAATTTGTATCAAGTAGTCATTTGTGAATTTGGCAAGCTCCTCTAGGTAACCCTAATTAAGCCTCTGTGTGTGTCTCTATGAATAAATCGCTAAGCAAGTGAATGAAAGCAGACATTCTAGCATCATCTGGCCTTTGCATTGTTAATGATCTTGGCTTGGTATTTTTGACTGCAGAAACACTGCCCCAAAAACTTGCAATTTTCCTGGGGGAAGTGACCCAGTCAGATGTATTACAACCTAGCAGTCATTGAGCTGCTGGACAAACTCTTCTGCTCTGCTGTTTGCTTGGATCTATCAATATGAACAGAATTATTTTGTCTAATGGCACATTAAACAAACTAGCATCCTCTAAGCATCGAGAACGATCGATAGCAAAGCATCAATATACTTTTTTTTTTCTTTTTTTTCTCCTCTTGGACACGTTCTTGTCTCATGGTGATGTAATTTACTCTGTACTGTCCTGGTTTACTGAGAGGGAAGAAGCCCACAGATGCTAGATGTGTCGTTTCATACCATTTAAAAGGGTGCATTCTACAAATGACTAGGCAGTCTGTGGCAAAGTTGAAATATTTAACTTTTAAAGTTAACATTTGGTTTAAATATGTAAAGGCAACCTCCTCTTTAGCGTGAGACATAATGAATACTTTTCAAGTAGTTGTTATGATTATCACTTGAATGTAACTGCATGCTACCTTTCCTAATTAATTTGCAGTCCCAATATATTACTGAGATGCATGAATATTTATGAAGCATCGATATACGGAACAGTAACTTTATTTTGGTACGCGTTCAGAACATGTTACTGCATACGTGAAATAACTTGTCGTGCTCCTTGATGAGGACTTTGCAACAGGAAAAATGTGAAAAGGAATAGAAGAGTGATGTGGTGGGAATTAATTGACTTATTTACAGGGTTTTTTTTGTGTGTGTGTTTGTGGACTTCAAGGAATTAATCAGCAGAACTGTTGAAAGCAGATACTGCCTGCACCTCAGTATTGCGAATGAGCCTACAATAGCAAGACTTCAAGAGCAACTCCGAGGCACGTTGAGTTAGCACAGCAATATTGTTATTTAGAGCCAGCGTCACAACGCCCAATATCAACAGATCCCAGAGCTGGAACACAGAGCAGCTCTATAAGGTAAATATATCTACATAAGCTTTGCCTTGGATTTTGTTCCCTTTTGTCAGTGTTAATTTTACCAGCTGCTGCTCCACTGTTACATTGCTGGTGATGGCTCAGGAGTCAGGTACAAATTGTGCATATGGATAAAATCTGTACTAAAGCGAAATATTCTCAGCCCTTGTAGCAATGGATTACCCTAATGGTGGTGAGCTGAACGCCTCAGTAAGAATAGCACAGGATGGTCACAACTCCAAGCCTGTGCATGTAGTGGCCAATGCTGCAGTGGTCAATGCAGGGTAGGAAGCTATCGCTCTCTTTCCACACCCAACTGTCCTCCATGCCCGAATGCTCTGTCTCTCTCTCTCTCTCTCTCTCTCTCTCTGTCTCTCTCTCTCTCTCTCTCTCTCTCCCCACCATCCTGCCAACAGCCGCTGATGTAGCCACACTTATTACTGCTCTCTAACCTAGTTCTGTCAAAATGATATAGATGAGCTCTAAAAATACTTAATAGGGATTTTTTTTTATTTTTTTTTAAAACCTACAGCATTTGGGCAAGTGAGGGCTAGGGAACAACTGTCTGTAAGGATGCTCTGGGTGTGTTATGCACATTAGGACAACCACACCTGAAGGTATTTAGAAGCAGCTTTGGGGTGGTGAAGTCTTGAATTTTTCACTCAGCAAGGCTGTTGAATTTGATACAAGGTGAAAAACTGACCAGTCATGAGGCATCCTACGTCAGCCAAATTCAAAAGCCTGATCTTTATTTTATAGACTAGGCATGCACTGGCTGCAACAAATCTTGACCTCATGCAGAAACCTCAGGCTTTAGCTATACATATGCAAATACGTATGCAAAACTTCCCAGCGCAAAACTTGTGTCCACAGGGAAGACAATTCTAAAACAAACAAAAACGTTGATCGACATTCCTAGCAGCCCTGAACAGTTCTAACATGTTAGAATTTCAGTGATTCCATTCAAACAACTCATTGTTGTGAGTTTTCATACAGCTTTGAGAATGAATGGTAAACCAGCCTTTTCACTGTATGGGAATTTAAAGCAAGTGGAGCAAGGCAGCATTTCACTATATATGTGTTTGGGTTATTTTATTCATATTTACACCTTAGGTGTGTCTTGTAAATCTTATTTTCTCTGCTACTTCATCATTTTTTATGACTTCACATCTTAAGGCTTACAGGAATTTATATCTTCAGCTGAGTAACCACATGCAACATGATAAATTGCCACAGGCCAGGCTGTATCCAGCCACTTGGTGAGCAAGTGTAGTTAAGAACGCGGTGATGCCCTCTCCATCCCCATGCCTGCTGTAACTCCTTTGCACTTTGCTTGTCTAGGACCTCTTGGGCTAATCAAAGGTGGCTGCACAGAGCAGAAAAATGTCTAGTTTCCAGGGAGGCAAACTGTTTGACCTTGGAAAGCTTGCCATCTGGTTTTGCCAGGAAGCTAAAGCAAGGGGTAACATTGCAAAGGGTAAGTCTGCTACCTTTCTCTGCAGTCCTCCAGCGGATGGGAAAGGGGTGAAAGCAGCAGGATAGTGGAGCGACTTTGTCTCATTCAGCGTGATCCATTTGTACAGAGGCTGTTCAGGTGAGTTCTTTGTTCATACCCATTTTAAGTAAGTGTCCGTACTCATCCTTCAGGGCTGCAGTCAAAAGTTCTTCCCTGATCCTTCCTCAGATAGAGATCCAGAACTCATGGGATGCTTGCAATGTGACCTTAAGACCTAAGTGTGAACGTCGTGGCAGTAACTAAAGTCGTAGACAAAGGGCAAGATGACTTTTTTTTTCCTCTGTGTGCTCATTGTCTAGGAGGTGCAACCAGACACTCAGGCACTTCTATCATCTGGGAGCTTCAGCAACTTGCAAGTACACCTATAAGTATGGATAACAAGGTTTGTCTTCTGTTGTTTTTATGCTGTTCGTCCATAGCAGACCTATCACCATTGCACGCTGCATTATTTTGCCCAGTTGAGAGAAGAATATTGTCAAAAAAGGTGACTACACGGTAAGTGACTCCTCAATATCAAAACCAAGTTACTGGAGATACACAGGGATAGCACATACATAAACATTTCTCTTCATATTTTCAAGGGAAAGATGTCTTTATTACAAAGACGGCTGTATAAATAGTTTTTTGTGTGTAAGCTAAAAATTTCCACATAAAGCCAGTATTGCTGTCACTGCTTTACTTGGGTATCTTGTGATCTGCTTAATGGGATTGGATTTATGGTGATTTCAGAGGAATGCGGATGGTGGTTTACTGCCACAAACACAATTCCTCTATCTTTGACAATTAAGGTCTGTCCGTTCTTCCCTCCCTCATTCCTTCCCTTCCTCTCTCTATATTCTACAAATGCTGCCGCCTTCATGGAATGTACACTCTGTATGGTTACTGTTCTACATGCACCATGTGTACAGGTGATGTACTACATGCTATGCACGCTGTAGTTGGACTGTATTGTATGCTTAGTCCGCCAGTATATAGGTAATGTGTTATGCATACAGTGTACGCTCTCTATAGTTAGCATGGTCTAAAAACACCCCCAGACACACACACCAACAGTTCCTGTCAGCACTTAATTCCAGTAGAAGGGTCAGCAATAAGAATTTATTTCTAGATGATTGAAGTGCATACATTTGCTAGGCATCCAAAGCAAAAATGGTTTATTCTCCAACTTACACACAGGAAGGGCTGCAATACTCATATCCCTTATTACATTTTGTTTTATTTAATTAGGAAAATTTAAGTTTATTATCTCTCTTGAAGATCTATCCACAGCAGAGTCTTCAGGCCTTGAAATGTCAAAACATTTAACACACACACACGCACGCACGCACACCCTTTATTTTTCTTCTTGGTGTGCCAGTTATTTATAACATAAGTCCTACCAGGCTACACAAAAGCACTCCAAAACTTCAAGTAATCAAAGACTGCCCACATTTTCTTCTTTCTGGTTTAGTCATTAATAGTTGAAATTTATTTATTATTTTTTTTCTGACACATCCATTTTACTCAGGTCAGCTCCTCAGGTCCTCTCCAAGGCTAGATATGAGGACTCAAGTCAGGTATGGTTATGGACATGAGGCTCCTACTCTAGTACCAAGCTCTACTAGAGTAGTACTACTAGTACTACTCTAATACCAAACTGTATTTAGCCTAATTACTCCATTTTGCTTTTGCTTTTAAATATTTTGCTGTTGTTTTAGTTGGTACAAAGCTGTGCTCACATTAAGACTTTTCACAGTTGGGACAGCTGACCAAAGGGATGGTCCTGCACCACATGACGTCATGCCCAGTGATAAAACCGGAGGGAGTTTGCCAAGGGGGCTGCCATTGCTCAGGGACTGGCTGGGCATCAACTGGCTGGTGGTAAGCAACTGTGTTGTGCAACACTTGGGTGTTTTGGCTTGTTTTTTCCTATTTCAGCAGCTTCTGGCTTGCTCCCCAGTGGGATGGAGGAGAGAATAGAAAAAAAGGTAAAAGTGTGAGGACTTGTGGGCTGAGATAAGGACAGTTTACTGAGTAAATAACAACAATAATAATAAGAGGAATAAAATTAAAAAAACAAGCGATGCACAATGCAACTGCTTGCTACCAGACAACTGCTGCCAGCCAGTCTCTGAGCAAACAGCAGCCTCCATGACCAACTCCCCCCGGTTTTATTGTTCAGCATGATGCCCTGTGGTATGGTACATCCTGGGGCCAGTTGTTCTGCCTGTGTCCCCACCCAGCTCCTGGTGCACCCCCAGCCTCCTCGCTGGCAGGGCAGCACAAGAAGCAAAGTCCTTGGCTCTGTGGAAGCACTGTTCTGCAACAATGAAAACATCAGTGTGTTATCAGCATTATTTTCATGCAAAAATCCAAAGCACAGTACTGTACCAGCTGCTAGGAATAAAATTAATGCTATCCCAGCAAAACCAGGACAATCATAAAGGCAAAAAGGCACAGAGAAGGGAAACAGTTACTAGGGTAAGAATATGTTTTGGTTTTTTAGTCCCTACAGCTGTGAATACTTGTAAGTCATGTAACAACATACCTGGGCTTCTTTGACTCTGTTCCTAGATGATGCTATTCCACTCTGTTTGCTACTCCGTTCTGCACAAGCTTGCATCAAATATTATCTATTGTCTTTTGTTACTCTCAGGGTCAGTTTCTTCTTAAGAACTTTATCCCAGCTATCAGTATCCGTCTTGGTTAATCAAGTTATACCCAGTCCTTATTCCAACAGAATCTTAGAGATAATGGTCTTGTCACCAATTTGACAGCGGAAGCAAACCAGAAATAACTTGCTCTATTCCACATGTTCTGGCACCAGCCTGAGAATGATGAATACTTTCATAAGTGGCAGTGCAATTCATGGCTCTTCACTCATACGTTTTTGCAACGTAATCTATATCCAATGTGTTTAGCAGATTCAGCTTGCTTTCAGCTAAGCTTTTAATTGAATAAAATCATCACTTTTGGAATATATTTTTATTCTTTCTAAGAAGGTTACCCATTACATCTGTGGGACTTGGTGAGTCACTGATTTTTCCTCTATTTTACTGCTGACCATCTTTGAGCCTACGACAACATCTGAAAGGAAAAAAGGTCTGTCACTGTATATCCTCACCTGGCCACGTGATGCAGTCTGTGCCGTTTAGTGATTTGAAACAGTCAGTCTGTGTTACTGCCCATCTCTGTCTGGCACATGGGAACCTTTAGAGATGTTTGCTTGAACTCAATTCTTCCAGACTCCAGAAGACAATTCCTTAGTCCTAGGATGCTGACTCTCCTTACTGCTCTTTCTAACATAGGTTCAGGCTGTTCTACTTGATGCAAAATTATTTCCACCTAAATGAGAGAAGACAGAGATGGAGACAGAAATTTAACAGAAAGCTGTGCTGTATTCATCTTTCTGATGTTCTATTTCTGAATAGTCTGATAGTTAATAGCATCTTAATAATTAATCTGTATAGAAATTAATCTGTACAGAAAAAACAGGATTAATGAACCAAAAGAAAAATAAGCATCAGAAACTCAAAAGATCAAGCAAATATACCATGGTGGTATGACTGAATAAAAAGCAGGCATTAAAATACTGATGCTTCATCTTTATATGAAAGTTTGTAATTGGAAGAGAAAATGCTACAACATGTATCTATTATCGTGATGACAGAAGCCGTAATGAACATGGGAAGCATTACAAACTGTCTAATCTCATTTATGGCCGGTATGCCTTAAATCAAATCATCGCCGTTTCAATTATACGACCAAATCTCAATCTCTGATCAGAGAGACAGAAAAGGACATGGGGAACGGTCTATATTCCCACAAGAAATGCAGGACTACACGACAGCTTTTAAGCATCCAGGCAGAATTTGGCTCACCATCTACACAGATTGCAAATATTGGCTCGGGGAATTCCTTAATTTTGACCAGGCTTAATGCATACTCAAAACCATGCACTTCAGTTACCAACAGAGGCCTCTCCACTCCGGGTGCGGAGCGGGAGGAACAGCTTGCCTGCTTCGCACGCAAACAGCGCGGGAGGGCTCTGCTGCTTGCGGCTGTTGCCAGCTTTTGGTGCCACTGGCAGTATGAGAGCGCCCCACAGACTCTGGTTCTTGCTCCTCCTAGGGAGCATCCTCACCGGCCATGCACAGTCACATTTCTGCAGCATCTGGATTTTTAGATGCTGCTCACATGAAATAAGGCATGTCGACTCTCCCTGAAAGCTACACACAAATCACAGGAGCAACAGAGCAGCAAACCCCCAGCAGTGTCAATGTACTATCCGCTGGTCACTAAAAGCAGGTAAAGGGGAATTTATTTTACATTAGAGGTTTATCTCAGGCACTTGTATGTAGATGCAGCATCAGCATACATATATTTTTTAACTAGCTTTAATCTTCCTAGGAGCAAAAATATTCCGTTTAATAATTTTTATTTTTAACTCTACTACAATTGATTTAACGTGAACTGTCAAGCAAGATCAAGGTGTCTGGAGTAGCTTTATGGTTCATCTTATTCTACTTAAATAAAGCAAGAAATTGTCAACAAGTCTAAAAGAATACAATTCTGCCAGAAAAGTATAACATTTCCCTTCACTGTCATGACCTAAATGACTATCTGGACAGTGCACACTATCACAGCATCAACTGTTCTCCCACATACAGTCAGGAATTGAGTCTAGTGCTGTTTTTACTCACAGTCGCACAGTTCTAGAAAATCCGGTGTTTATTTGTCCGTGACGGAGCAGTACGCTTCGCTTGTTTATGCCAAGTCCTTCCTCATTTTGTGCATCTGTTTCATCATATGTGTCCTGGCAGCTGTGGAAACGATAAGTTTCAAGAGCCAAGAAAGTTTACAGGCAACTACAGATTTTGGTGGTTTAAGGAAGAAACACACATTGGACAATATCCGCATCAGGTTTTTTTCCATAGATCAGTTTCACAAGGTTGGCAGAGATCCAGTCACCCCTAGAGCTCATAAATATGAAAGGAATCTGGGTAATACAATTAATATGCTTCTTTAGCAAAGTGATAAAATAGCAAAACAGACAGAAAAAACCAACACCAAAATATACTAAATGATTTTTTTTCATAACATTACTCAGAGATACACTTTTCAAAGGAATTTGATCATTATTTTGCTCAAACTAAACATTAGATGGAGAAATGCAGACTGACATCATTAATCTGCTTAAAATCCAAGCATCACTCCACCACATGGCATTGACGATGCTGTCACCACAGTATTTCTCTTCTAGTTCCTTTCTAATGTTGTTGTGTTAACAAGGAAAACCGTGCATGAGTGCATGTGACATGTGAGGAAAAAGCCACCTGAGAGGCTAGTTGTGTGAAAGGGTTAAACAGAGCTGGGTGAAAGCAGAGATCCCACTGGGCAGATGAGGGTCAGACTGACTTGTGTGAGCTAATAGGCCTGTGAATTTAGAACACCCATGGAGGAAGATACTAGCCAACGCATCAAAAGAGAAGAGCATATTATCCAAAAGCAGAAATATGGGGAAAGAATGACACGTCCAACTAAACTACAGTTTCAAGTGTTCTTTTAATCTCTGTGAAATGCCTTTGATTTCTAACAGGAGAATATCTGCCATTATATCAAAATATCCATAGAGCTCTTCTAATCATTCCCCATGTTGTAACGTGCAGAATTGATTCCTCGAATTAAGAGGATGCTGCTCTCCTAAGTAGTCCCATTGAAACCAATTGAGCTACATCAATATGACAGCAAAAGACACAGTCCAGCCTTTAGATTTTACCACTTACTATTACATGTAATGCTTCAGTCATTACGTGACCTGGGACGACAGACTGACCTGTGCTGTAAAGTACTACTGGATGAACAAGGCAGGCGAGGGGGCGGGGGGTTGGATACAACGGCTTTCACTCCCTGAGCATTATCAAATCCAATTCCATTGGCATTCAGATCAAGCAATGACTTAAACAGCCAGCCATCTGCATCTTGCTTTTGTCATGGTACTTTACTATTTGATGCTAGTAGCACTTACCAAGCGATGGGGAAATTCAATACTGCATGAACAATGAGGTGATGTCTTCACAAACACATTTGCTGAGTGCTTCATCGGTATTTATAGCCTGGTGTCTGTTCTTCAGTGTTTTCACATGTTCCTGTAAATGTTTGAGGTGCTTCGGCTTTTACAAATCCCTCTATTTACATGACAAAAAGTATATTAAGGCATGTACAAGAGAACTTACTCATCATCATTCACTAGACTCTTATTTAAAAAGCTAAAGGTAGTCAATGAAGGCAAGGGAAAGATTGCTGTGTCTTGGATTGGAGCTAGTGATTTCTGATAGATCTCCTCTTGGAGATGCACCCATAGGCCGCAATTTTTGTGGGATAACGATTTAACAAACAGTTCCAAAAAACAGTGCAATTTGGAAAAACAGATAATGGTCCATAGATGATTGAAGAGCAAGGAAAGAAGCTACATTTGCTAATGAGATAGTCCAGTGCATAGATCACAAAGCCCTGTTATTAAATTTAAGCAGGGGTTTTCAAACAGCTGCTGAAACCTGCATTTTCTTGCATTAATGTGGCAAAACTTACAACAGAGAGGCTGCAGCCCCTGCCATTGGCTTGTGATAACAGGTAATGCTGTTTTGTGCAGAAGTGCCTGAGCCTAAGCAAAACAAGGCTTGGTACCGAGCTCACCCATGGACTCTGGGTTGCGTCTCTGATAGCTCCTACATGATCCAAAGGTGCAAAAAAGAAAACATTATAGAAATTCAGAACCTGGTGTTAGGTAGACTGATAACTTGCAAGTCAGCTTGCATATAACCATTTTGTGCAAGAAACAAGTGATTACATCAGTTTGGATTTATCAAATAACTCCTTATTCTCACTACTTCATAGCAAGTTGGAAATCAGTTATCAGTTTCATCGTATTTTGCTTAATGGTGACTCTAATATTCCAGAATTTTAAATAGCATGCACACTTGCTTTCTCTAGTAGAATACATTTACCATGGCCCAACAAACACGATTTATCATAAAGGCAAAATATTTGTAGAAAAACACTAACTTCTTGTGATTTATGACATTATTAAATGTGAGCTGGGATGCAAAGTGAGGAAGAGATGCTAGGCTCACTTACACAACAGCACTGAGCCTTTCTTTTAGTCAAAAAATTTGCATCAATGCAGTCATTACTTACATTAGAAAATGCTCTCAAGTTGAAGATCAGCGTGACCCTCGTTTCGGTGAACCTGTTCCCAGGAAAAAGTTCAGTTGACATACAGGCCATGAGCCATCCATGATACGAGGATTTCTCTGTTGAAGCTCCCCAGGTGGGGGTGGCAGGAGAGAGGGTGGGATCACTGAGAGTTTCACTGTCCTCTTCCAGTGGCACAGCTCAAGACGCATGCAGGGGCAAGCTTCTGGCTCAGCAATCTAGGAATTGAATGGTACATCTGCAGTGACTCCTGTTTGATAAGCAAAGCCAGCCAAAATGCAGATTCCTCTAATTCCAAGGCAATCACAGAGTGTTTAATCTGGTTTGTGTCCAAACTCAGGATGGGCAGTTTGGATGTAAGTAGGCGAACAAGAGGTCAGAGAATTCAGGCACCTTCCTCCTACTAGTTAATGTGTGAAATGTCTCAACTCAGCACACTGATGTCAGCACCAGATATAACTTGTTTTTTCTAAATAATCACAAGCACCTGAGATCGCTAGGACAGCCTTCATTGACTATAATATTTCAGGCCTCTCTGCACATAATGCAAATCCCTTTAAAAAAACAGTGAATTAAATAATAATAATAACAACAACAAAACGTGCGCTAGAAGAGCAAGCCTGGACCAAGGAGACGATGCTCCACCCTAAATGCCCTCGAGCTGCATCTCCTTTCCTATGAAGGGAGAAGCACTAGGATAAAAAAGTGATGTGAGACTTTCTCCATGACAACAGCTGGAAAGGAGCCTGGGGTCCAGCTGCAGTAGTCCCACAAGGGGATGCTCTCACCACCAAGTAAGCTTTTTTCCCCTCCGGTCAATTAAAACTTCAGCAGCATTGCACAAAAGCAGCCCACGAAGACCTAATGGGAAAAAGATTAGGAGACAGTTTGCTCTGAATAGCCTGCAGTTTTGTTTAGTTTTATCATCATCTAAATCCACCCTAGGAAATTTATACATTTTCTGTGCCACTGTCCTTTAACAGTTTGCAGCAGGATCTGCCAGAGGAGTCAAAACATATTTTCCCACGTTCAGATGATCTTGCAACACAAGTTACTATCATTACATGTAGCATCTTACACTTTGCTCCAGTACCACCTATTGACCAGTTTAGAAAAATATTCCTGTTTAACAGCAGAATTTAGGTGCCTTAATAAAATCTAATACAAGTGCACTGGCTTTTTACAAAGAAAATGGCTTTATCTGTTGCAACTATTCCTATAGCTTGAAACCTCTCTGACTGAAATTAGCAGTAAATTGTATGTACCAGTAAGTCATCTTTTTAAGTTAGCAAAACACATGTCATGACCAAGCAGGATGTTCCTCTCTGTAATCTCCTGATAAACACATCCATTTTACATAAAGTGCAAAATATTTTGAATTCTTTATTTCAGATCTAAGCCCATCAAAGGATCAAACCAGTAGCAATGTTTTATGATCTCATTAGACTTACAAGAGACGAGGTGCAGCATTTGGCAAAGTGGTTCACTGAGTGCACAACATCTGACAGAGCTACAGCAAGATATTCTGAACTGATCTGAACACTTAGAGTGATCTAAAAGGTTTGATTTTCCTCCATATTCTTTTTAAAAGGTAAAAAATGAGGCACACAGAGATACCTTATGACCAGTCACATTTAATCACCCTGCAGACTGCAGTTTGTGCCCTGTTCTTCATCTAGCGCTATGCCCCTTACAGTTGCATGCCATTTACGTGCTCATAGTTCAAGGAAAATCTTTGGCTTCTATGTCAAAGCTGTATCTTGGATCTGACATGACAGATACTTAGTAATTTGGTTCAGTACTTAGTTACTTTGGCATTGTTTAGGCCAAATGAGAAGTGTAGAAGAATTTAATTTTGGTACATGATATCTCCTCATATTGCTGCACACCTAACCTGTGTGTAATCTGGAGTATACCTGAAGGAAAATGTGCCTTTGAATTCTCAGTTTCAGGTTCAGAAGGTGCTTCAGCAGCTAGGTAGCAGGAGCAGTTTCCTTTCCTCAACCTGACTTCAAAAACAATCATCTCTCTAATAGGAGAGCAACACAGAACTAAAGGCTTTAATGTCTGAAAAAGGCAGAGGTTATTTTTTTATGGTACCATTAGATTTATAGGAGGAAACTGGTATGGGAGCACTTCCTAAAAACCTGTAATGCGAACGCATAAAAACAATGGGGGAAAAAAAAGGAAGAGCGAATTGGTTGCAATTAAATAAGAACTGTGGTATTTGCATGAAGCATGGATCCCAGTCAGTATTTCTCCCACTGCATTTTTCAAGTTCAAAATGTAATTTAAACCTGTCTCTGGGCATCAAAAATGAGACAGGAGTCTTTGCAGAATGAGAAGGAGGTAGGTCTGTGCACGGTCTACCACTAGTCACTGATCAGTTGTTCAAACGTGTTTGCAGAAGCAATATACAAAGCTATACTCAGTGGATGATCAGCCTACACACCATTTAGGCACATCATTTTTTTCAGAATGATACTGATTAGAACAATTCACAGCCAATAGTAATCTTGAGCTGACTGGAAGGGCAGCAGAGATGTGACCCTAGCATAAAACAAAGCACACGCTACAGCGAGCAGTGCTAACATGAGGCAAAAGCCTAGGGGGGTGCCTATTGCCATGCCTGATTAAATGTGTCTTATGGGTATAATTCCTTGAAATTTAAAAAGCTTAATTTTTAAATTGCCAGATAATTGTGTAATTGTAGTATTTGTATTCCCCATGATGAATCAGAGAGTGTAATTTCTAGCGGTTCCATGAAAATGAAATTGCCTGAAAGCGTTCACGACAGCTCTGCTCTCAGATGCAGCCATGGGGCTTGGAGGTCAGCCCTACAGCAGGGCAGCAATGCTTTACCTGCAGATTCACTGATGAATAACATTACACATAGCATGTCCAGTACATTTTTCATTCTACAAAGTACATAAATCACCTTCATCTGCAGAAAAATAAGATCCCAGAGGTATTTTCACAGGGCAGGCAGGTGCCTCTGATTTCTCTTTCTAGCAAGCTCATTTGAAGGTAGTTCAGGGGCATGAGCTGCACCGCTGCCGCATTTTGCTTGGCAAGCGGTGCTGTCGCTTTCCAAGGGAGATACTTCCACGATGAACAGATTGGTTGGACTCTCATGAAAACAATATACCTGATGCATTTCAAATAAACTGGTGATTCTCAGTGCTCCTTTAAATTTCCCTATTTCACTAAAATGCAAGGCACCTGATAAATGCGTGCACGACAGAAGTAATTACAATCAAATTACCGGGAATGCATATCAAAGCTCATGACAACACCAAAAGATGCTAAGGAAAAAGCATCTAAAGCTAGATGCTGCTGAATAAATAAATCAGTTAATTTGGGAGAAATATAGCTGGCTATGTACAAAAGGGGTGTTTGTACATTGCTCAGTACAAACATGGGCTGATAAGAGGCCTGCAGAGACAGAGAAAACACATTATGGGCAAAACTTAATCATGGGCAGCTGAAGGTAATCTTCAGCTCTTTCATTTCCCCTGTATGGAACTTGGTCTATATTTTTCAAAGACAACTAAAGTCTACTGCAAGACCACATGCCTCTAAACTATTAATTCTGCTAGAAGTTTGGAGAAAAAAAAAAAAAAAAAAAAGACTTAAGAAAAATGCAAATTCAGGCCAGCAAAAAAGATTTGTCATGATATACAGCAGCTACAGGAGTTTCAGTACTAAGGCATGCAAATAACATTGCTATCAATTTGGTTTGAGTCAATCCATCCATACAGCTACATGACCAGCGTTGTTCAGCTGGACAACTCCCCCACACCAACCAGCAGCAGTCACCATGGACGTCACATGGTTATTAAGAGGTCCCAGAAACCCCCACATCCAGTACTGAAGAACAACCTCAGTAACAAACACCTGAAAGAGTTCATCTCCACTCGGATGTAAAATGTTCTCAGTGGTGTGCAGGCCTCCTGGACCAGAATACCTCCCTTTGGCCTGTCTGTCCATCTCCTCACTCCTGAGCTGTGACGTGACCCTTGCCTTTCTTATCTCATCTCATTGCTGCCGGTGAATTTCCCCCAGACATCCTTGTGCAAGATGTATACACACGCATGTACAGGTTTCATGCCCAAAGAAGCTATAAAACAAAGTACAGGGTTGATGCAACAAGGTGCAGCCTTCCTAGTACCTGTAGTAAAATCCTCTATCCTCAAAAGCAGTACCTGGCCCACTGGACCAGGCCTGGGACATAATACAAGAAGAAAGTACTGCAAACAAAGCTACAGTATACAACAACAACAAATTGATATCACAGGTATGTGCAGGACTCTTATTTTTTGAAATAAATTTACTCTAGAGTTAATCAGAAACTTTCTCATGGTATCACCTTTGCAGTTGTTCATGGCCAATCTATATCCATTTAATCTTGCAACAATATTTTAAACTATTTCTCTAGTCTTGGTATTCCCTCCATTGCTGTAATCATAAGGCAGAAGGCCACTGCAGTGTTTCTCTCAGCAGTGGCACATACATGGGTCACACTCAGCGCAAAGCTACAAATACACCCAGGCATTGTTATTGTTGCTTTTGCTCTTCTGTAACTTCCAAATGATGAGCTACAGAAGTTCTTATTAGCAGTCCCTCAGGACATGAATTTATGTGGTATAGCTTGTGATATTGCAATACAAAGTTCATTTCCTTGTGTAATTAATTTAATCTTATTTTTGTTTTACCAATTGAAAGGCTGTCAGTTTAAAGACATAGCCTTATTTTTTCCCTACATTTCTATTCATGTAGCATCTGTTTTCGTAAACACACACGAAGGTTTTCCCCAATCGATAATTAATGTTTTAATTGGTATTAAACTCCAAATCTCCTTTTAGTTTCTCCTATAGTACTTTAATATCCCCCTTACAATTATGCCTAAGCCAGAATGCAAAGTTTGTAGGATTCGATTCCTGTATTAAGGTTATTTACCTTTGTTTCCCATCAGGTAGATTTTACAAGTAACATTTCTATTAAAAAAATATTTGGACAGAGGAACACCGATTGACAAGTACAGCAAAAATGTTTCTCCCTGGAGCTAACACCACCTCTACACACTCCACATTTACATAGCAAATATGCACCACTAAGTCATTATGCAAATATAAAACTCAGATTATACACAGTGATTTACACAGGCATCGATTTACTGACTTTTTGGTGGATTCAAGTGTAAATTCTTTTCCACTTTGGGGCAATTTTTTAAATGGTAACATACTGGGAATAAGGTTTCATTAAAGAGTAAATGGACTTCAAAGTTTGCATTGCAGAGACTTACCTTTAAAGGAAAGCTTTTTCATTACAATCACATTGAGAAGAGTTCTTAAACTGTATGGCACTCTAAGCCATACATTATCTTCATGTTATCTTCTGTTTATACAATGTTAAGCATACTCCGTAAAGTTCAGATATTTTAAACTGTGAGCTCTTTGGGGCAAGAGTCATCTTTTTCTGCACGTATTTTTTTTTAGCCCCAACAAGACAATGATCTTTGACTTGATACAAACACCACACATTATAGAAATTATCCATTAGGAATGTAAGAATTCTTTATTTGATATCAAAACAAATACCCTGACTGTATATCTAAAGATCATCATTGTGTTTAAGCAAATAAAAAGTAAATTTGCCTCTTACCACTAATAACTAACAACTACTTGCATCAGACATTTTAGTAGTGATCATCCTTTAAATCGGTGTGTAAATCTACTTCACTGGTGCTACTAAAAACAATTCACCCACACTGAAAAAAAATGCCTCTCCAGAATTTGGCAATTAATCAAAAGTTCTCACATAACACTATCTTACTCATGAGTATTTAAGTTTCCAATTTAATATTTGTCTTCTATACCTTCAAAGTTGACATTTCATAATATTTTTAAGGAAAGATTAATAATGTAAAAAGGGAAAAATGCTGCCTGGGGCAACAATCAGACAATAATATATAGACTGCAAGACAAACACCTCAACAAAAAAAATGTTGCAACTTTATGTTCCTACATTACTGTATGATATTAGACACCATCACTCACATGAGCTTTACCGAGCTGGAAATAGTTTGGGAGATGGAGGAAAATCATCATAGAATGATAGATCATCATAGAAAATGATCTGTTTAAGCCAAAGAAATAGAATTATCAGTGTCAACTGCTCTGTGTTTTTAATATTTCCGAAGATTGAAATACAGTCTCTAAAATTAAAATACCAACATGACCTGTCAACAATCACCGTGAATCCAGGTAAGTGGTTCTTGGATATTGTATAATTTTTACTTCATTCTGGGTTTTGCACACAAACTGAGTGACAGAATTTATACTGTGGTGGTATTAAAGTGTCAACTCCAAAAGCAAAGATTTTTCGATGTTTTTTCAACCACATCTTTTAGTAAAATAGTTTTTCCTAAAGCTCATAGTTTTTAAAACTAGTACACATATGAGAAAAACAATTGTTTGAGATATTGTTGTTGCCCAGTATAAAGTTTTTATTACATAAGAGCATTAAAATTAGGTACCATAGTATTTTATAAAGTTGGTAAAAGCTAGAGTGAAAGAGCACTAAAATTTTCATGTATTTTAAACAGGTGGTCCTATGATATCATCATCATCTACTGCAGACAATTATAAAAAAAAAAAGAACATGTATGGCAATCCCATGCATGATTTGCATTAGTGCATTCAGATCATATTTAAAAAAATAACAACGTTCTCTAATTTAATCAGGCAAAATCTAGAAATAATCACTAAGTGTACAGCACTGCAGTTACTAACATGATTATGCTTTCAAACAATGTTTATGTTTTTAAAACATACGCAGAAGAAAACAAAATGGGTTAAAAAACATCACAAGCTATAGCACTAAGCTTTGAGGTCTCCTCACTGTATTCTAAGAAGCCATCATCATGTCATTAAAAATGGGCAGGCTTGGATGCTGCTATCACTTTTATTTCTCATAGTAACTCTTGCTGAGTTACTGTTGTTGACCCAATTACACTCACGACATTACCACACCACGGACTATGTAATGTTTTTAACATTTCTTTAATTATAGATGTTGCTAGCATGTTTGAAGGATTATTTCACAGACTGGCTGCTACAAAGTCCACAGCCTAAACAACCTGAGATGCTTGAGCTTCATAATGTGAAATTGCTCGTGCTTTCAAAATTCTTACTGTCATCGTACCTTAATCCTATACAGGTTAATGTATACCATTATCTATGGTATAGTAACCATCCCAGGTATAGCATGAAGGAGTCCAAGGAAAGGGTTCCTATCTCTAGACTCCCAGAGCTTTCAGAATATCAGCTATCCCGAATATATAAAATACCAAAAAATTCACTGTTCAATGGAAAACAACAAGGAAAGACAGAGAAAGAATGTTTTGAGCTCAATTCCAGGATGCTTTTGAAAGTCAAGGACCAATAAGATAAATGTCTGCAAGCACGATGCAGATGGCATAACATACTTGAGGCTTTTATATCATATTAGAGACTTTCAATTTGTGTTAGACATTGTCACTTTACAATGCACTTGACATATTATCTCAACAGTTTCCTATAATTTATTTTCTTTCTTTCTTCAGACTGAATAAAATTTTCACAAAGAAAAAGCACAAAAAAGGAGAAAAAACACATCCAAACATTACAAGATGGAATGAAAAGTAGAAGATGTAAAAGAACTAGAATGTTTATTTCTTGCTACTAATATTTCTGACATTCCTGAATCGTTTCCTGCACCAATAAGAACCACTAACATAAGTAAGTATTGCCAAGGTTTCTTTTGCAGTTTTGCATCGCTATAGTTACGTGTTTCCTGTTTTCAGTTCTACCAGAGGAACAGATAATGTACTGGGATTGCAGGAAAATTGCTCTTCACTCATTGGCTTTCTCTTTGGTACAGAGTGTTTGCAGAGATGATTAGACAGTATTTTCTATGAGGAAGAAAATGCTTGTTCAAACTTCTACGAAGAAAGGCTTAGGATGAAATTAAGATCAGTCTAGAATAGTTTATAGTATCGCTTGGTCTTATACAGGGACATATCTCGGACAGCCAGGTTCCTTATACCCCTGTACCCATGGAGCTAATGCCAATTTTGAATTAACACAAAATTGAATTATTAAGATATTTTGCTTTCTTAGATATTTAACCTTTTAGTGCTTCCGCTATTGACATCAGTAGCAAAGAGATGAGAACACAAGTCTCCTTGTAAAGTATTTTCAGAGTAAGGATATAGTTAAAGTATTCCAGACTTAATTATCGATACATTTGAGAATGAAAAATACTACAGAGGTAGAACACAGAAAGGTAAGGGGATGATCTGAGATCAACTAACCTCATTTGTTTCAACAGTGCATGTGCTTTGTGGAAATTTGATCCGAGTTCCAGGTATGTTGAGAGTTTATGGAAATTATCTGACACAAATGCTTATGATTACCAGTATTGGGGGAATAAAGAAAGAAGGAAAAAAAAAAAGAAAAAAAAAAACCTGAAAAATAAAAATTACCTAGAGAGTGGAAGATAAAAACAGCTTTTACCAAACACAACCAAAAAGCCAGCATAGAGATGCCTGCTCATTTTCAGCCAGCATCACACCAAACTCTCAATAACAATTGATCTGATGCTCACCATTGCTCTTTGTATGTATTTCTGTATCTGGTCTCCCTAGCCTATTTGTGATAGGCCCTGGCATTTTAGAGCACTAGATTATACAAGGAACCAAGCAATTGTTTGGACTGCTTTTACACTGTAGAGCATCTGCTATTTTTCTGAGTTTTAGGCTAGACCCGATGAGGAGAAGGGTTTCCAGTCTGTCCCTGTGATGTTAAAAAATAAATAAGCAGCCATTCCAAACATTATGAAATTAAACATCTTTCTCTATTCTGTGTAATAGAACCAAATTGCTACGATTGTGTCATTAAACGCCCAGTGCAGCTAGTATGAAAAATTGGAGCAGCCTGGCGATTTTTCTCGCGTTCTGTCAGCAGAACAACGTCTGCCTGCAACAAGGAATACCTATATCCATATGCTTTCTGTCAGCCCTCATGATAAATGCAGCACAGTCTTTGTGCTTCCAGCAAATAGAGAGAGAAAATGATATATAAAGCCTCTCTTTGTTCTGATTCATGGATAGAAGGCATTGCATAGACAAAGAAAAATGTAATGTCTGCACGCTGATCGGGGGTATTCAACCACTGCAGCTGGGAGCTGATTTAGGAAAAAAAAAAAAACTGTTTCATTTTATTTTTACAGAATTTGAATCCAAGCTAAACATAGTTGTGAATGATTGGAGCTTAGTTGTCTTGTGTCCTCCATCCACTAACGCAAGCACGGTGACCGCTTGGTCTGGGCACACACGTGCTGCAGGCTCGAGCCTCCCAGTACCAGCAATTCCCCTCCCTGCCACAGCTGAGTCAGCAGCAGAAGGTGAATGAAGGTACCAGAACCATTTGCTGCCGTGGGCCAGCGGCAAAACTGCAAATTCCCTGGAATATTGGGGGGAAATGGGGATGATGCATGTGCAAATTGCTCATTGTTTCTGCTGATCTTTGAGTGCTGCATGACTTCCCTATCGCTATAACTAAAAGGCAAAATTTATTTCCAATTGACCCTTTTATCAAAGTAGTAATGCCAAAAAAAATCAGGATTATCATTTTTGCACAATTCAGCTTCCTCCGTGGCAATGAGGGTAAACCAAAGACCACATCCAATAAACTAAGTAAACCCTCCCGTGCTATTTATTACTTGTTTTATTCCCTTTTTACTTCCCTCATTCTGTCAGATAAGGCTTCTACAGAAACTTATGCTGATAAAGTAACGTTGTATGATAATACATATATTAAAGGAAATTAATATCAGTAGTCTCACCTGAAGAAGATAGGCAGAATTCATGAGTTCTCTAGACACTTAGAAAAACACCTCCAAAAGGAAGCTATGACCCACTAGATGTCGTACTGACCTTGCAGAGGGCAGCATCCATAAAGTCATGGTGGTGGCACATTAACACATCCAGCTGACCTGAGAGAGTCTAGATGGCTGGATTAGCTTGGAGGTTACGGTCTGAATCCTTACACTTTAGACAACTAAACCTGAAAGATATTAAAGTTAACAAAATAATTAAGCTTTTAAATTGGTACCTCATTTTCATCACTGAGTCACTATTTGTTTATCTTATCGTATTCCAAATCTGAATTAGGTAATCTACAACTATTTACATGCAGACATAATATTTCACAACTGTTAGGCTACAGTGTCAAGAATGATTGTTTCAGAATAACAACACTGAAATGTGAGCTGCTTTTGGCTATCTTATTAAAGGGACTTTTTTTTTTTTTGTAAAGCACCTATAAAATCTATATGCACAGTAACCCCTATCTGCAAGTGAAAACAGTTGTTGATGCATGCAATTGTTTATTTTGAATACAGAAATAGACATCTGCATGGACAAATGGATGTGCATACAAATTTTCTCCCAAACTTTGTAGAGACAGGCTTGATCCAAAACCACAAGAGCTTTTTGCAATATCCCCATTCATTTCAGGGACTTTGCCCACAGATGTTATTTCCAAACCATTGACATTACTCCATCACTCTTAAATATCAAGAAGATTATCTCCCCCACACACACTTGTTGGTTTTTTTTGTTTGTTTGTTTGTTTTAAACTTGTAGCACAGTAAATGTGATACTGAGTTGAATCGAGTTTAAATAATCTAAGCAGAGATTATCTCTAAAAGTAAACTTGATAGTCACTCAGTAATTAAGCATGCATTGTTAGGTATCTTCTGCAGTGGATATTGACATGCACCCCTCCAGGAAACCTGCTGAATGGACAAATCCTCCATGCTTCCAAAATCTATGTGTTAAAACAAACAAACAAAACCTTCATAAACCTCAAACACCCTTCACAGTGACATGTTGCTGCAGTTAAAGGATCAAAATAATTAAAAGTGAACATGCAATACTCTGACAGGATTTTAAATACTTTAATTGTGTTCATGTTGCAGTGGGGTTTGTTTTGTTTCAGTCTGAAGGGTCACCATAATTAGCAAGCTTCCAGGTTGCCCTCAGGATGAAGAGTACCACAAACTCACTAATATTCAAAGAGCTAATGAGCACGCGATGCTTCTCTGCATTATGTATTTGCTTCTACCTAGTCTTTTGTGCCCTTTGGGTCTGTGGGCACAGGGGCATCTTCTGCTTACAATGCTCCTGGGCACCACAGGGCAGCTCACCTGCATGAACCACATCCACATCAGTGGTCAGGTCTCAAACAGAACCAATACAGCCAAGCTGGCAGCAGTAGCCTGTGACACAGTGCTGGATCTGCACAGAAATGGGTTTTCCTTTAGAAAACCTAAAGTTGCCATTCTTTTAGCTTAAGCCACCGTAGTTTAATAAGATGAGTTGTTTTTCCAGGCTTGCTGATTGATAAGGTTTGACACATGTTTAATTTGCATTTAATTACATGCAATCTGGCAAGGGGCTAAAATTAATAGTTTATAAAGCAGATACATTTGTATAGATTAGCCAAGTGCCTACTAAGGCAGAATATAGCCATCTATAAATATTTAGAAGAACTAAACAGCAAGGAAAGATAAATATTGTTGAAAATGACCTATTTAGTAGGTCACTGAAGTATAACTGGAAATAAACAAAAACAAGCAAAGAAAAAGCCTAAGAACACTGATTACGTTTAGCAGCATAATCAGTTAAACACAATGAGGTAGTACTTCTGTACCTGTACCTCTTCCGTCGCTCAGTCTATATTTATAATCTCAAACACATTGTCCATGAAGTATTAGATGATAGCTAACAGGTTTGATTAATAAACTTATTAGGCCTGTGTTTCTGATTGTCAGTTACAGATTAACACCGATATCTTCAAATTGCTTGCTTTATATAGTTTTCTTTTTGGAAATGTTATATCTCTAATCTTTGGAGAACAGAGAAGTAACTGAATAATCCTAGTGAGAACTTGACTTCATATTAATTGGTCTCTTAAATCATGAAGTGATTGTTTCCTATATATATATATATATATATATATTTAAGTGAATAATGAGATCTTAAGCACTTCTTTTAGTCTTATAGTTCTGCTTTCTTAAGTAGCAAAAACTGTAACCCTATGTGATTTATACCTGCTCTCTTATCTCAGAGTAATAAGATTTTCTCTCAGATTGGTTTGTTTTCTTTCTTACATTTTGTAAGTATACATAGAAATATAGTGGGATATCAGAGAAATAATTTAGAATTTTGTGTAATACTTTTAGAAAACTTGTGGTTAGCTTAAATAGTCCCATTTGTCTCATAAAATCATAATGAGAACCTGAGGATGGAGATGATTAAGTGGAACATGTGAAATCTACTTGATAGAAAATACCTACTTTAATGTGAATGCCACCAAAACAGACATCTAGCATAGATAACAGCTGAAACTAGAAAACTTTCCAAGTAAAATTGTTATGTCTTTATTGTAGGCACAGCATGAAAAAAAGTTCTTTATGCATTGCTGTTGTTCTTATTCATTTGTCAGCATGTGGTAAGTTAATGAACACATAGAAGAAAGGTTCCTCAGAATGAGTTCTGGAAAACATGATTCTAGCCTGCACTTTTTCTCATAAGGTCCAATTTTGTTTTGGGTTTGCCTGCTATTTTGACCAAATTCACAGGTTACAAATTTACTGACAAAAGTTTCAAAACTAGTTATCTGACCTTTCCTACATGCGTGAATCTGCTTTAAAGTAAAAGCAAATAATATAATATTTGCAATTTAAATTTTATATCCTCCCTTATTGTTTTCACCCCTCGCCCTCAGTACTGTTAGTACTTGTTATTTTTTACTTGTCTCAGAATTTAATCTTTAAATTTCAAAAGCGACTATGGAATAATTTTCTGATCTGATGTTGTAAGGTAGATTTAACACCCAAACATCATTATGATTTCAGTCTGATTTCAGGAAAAGACAGTTCTACAGACTGCAACAAAGAAGAGATTATTGTAAAGATTAAAGACAATGCCCAAAAGTATACATGGTGATGGCTGCAAGTCAACTAACGTGTTGTCAGTCTCTGCATAACACTAGGGTTTCTCAGTTGATTAATAAAGTACGAAGTTATGGGATATATATTATGCGAATATGTTTTCAAAGTCAGTGGAGAGAAAACCTCTCCACATCTCACATCACTAAAACCACCACAGTATACCAACACACTTAACGATTTGACATGGAGTTCATTCTGTTTAAAAAAAAAAAAAAAAGTGGCTTATATCCCACTAACATGTTAGACTCCATTTTGCACACTTAGAAGAGAAAATCAAGGCTTTTTTCAAGACAACAAACCTGCTAAACTTTCAAAGAAAGTTGATATTATTGGCCCAAGGAGTCACAAGCAGAGGAAATTACATTCTTCTTAGTGGTTTCACCTGAACACACTACAATATAAATAACTTTTACAAGCCTTTTTATCTGTGTTATTAACTAAACCATGAAGATGATCATCACTTTGTCCCATTAGAGCATGTGCTTCTTTTAAGTCAGAGATACTTTATCTATGGCAGATGTTAATTTAAAGTAGCAATCCATTTAAAGCTTTTACCAACAACTAAAATTGCTGATTGACCTCCACTCTGTACCATCTCTGTGAAAACGACTGGACAAAACAGATTGGAAACCTTGAAAGACAGAAGCTCGAAAACAAAACGAAAGTTTTTTTCTGACATGCTTATTTTCACTCAGACAATTTATGTTTCACGTAAAAGTGTAAATTTCTTTTTATTGGATTAATATAGTGTATTAATGCTTTTGGAAAAATGCAACTAATCATAAAACCAACCAATTTAGATCTACTAATTTTAAGCTGATCTGTGAAATCAACTATTACCATGTTACTTATAGAAATTGCATCCACCAAAGTATTTCTGGGTAAGCTGTTATTTATTTAGTTATTTATTTTCCCCAATACTTATAATTTATTAAGGTATGTGATTTTTCTTTAAAAAGAGATATTGTTGTATTCTCTAAAATCTGTTAACTCATAGTAATGTTTTTCTTATACTAAAACTGAGATAAAATCAAAATCCAGTACGCATTACGTTGTGTAGAAAGTCACTATTATTTCTAAGAAACCATCTGAGTAACAGAGCAAAATCTTTTCCATTGCAGTTGGATTCTATAGCTAACTGGATATTCAATGGGCATGCTCATGGGCATGCTATTTAAGGTGACCTTGGTGGTACCCCCTGCATTGCTGTCATAAAGACGAGGCAGCTTCGCACTCTCTGCAAATGCATTCCCCATTTTATGCGCAGTGCAAACACCTCGCTAAAATGCTGTATGTTGGACTTTATTGTAGGATAAAGAAAATCCTCCCCTGTTGTTTCTAAAAGCAATGTTACATTCTAAAAAACAAAATGCTTATTAAATATTTGGTCTTCATCTTTGGAAAATGCTAAATATTTTTATTATTTTTGAGGTTAAGGTAGTAGTTGTGGTAAGAAATAGACACACAGTCCAGACCCTTCTCCAACTATAATGATAAAAGTCCTCCTCTTACCTTAGACACAGAAAATTACAGTGAGGCAACTAAGTCCCACCTAAGCCTCTTGGCAACTTTTGGTGTAAAAATCTAGATTCCATTGTTGTTTTTTTTTTTTTTGTTTGTTTGTTTGTTTTTCTGTGATTTTTAGACTATGAAGGACATTTTGGAAAACATCCTTATGAATGTGCTACTTACGTTAAATTAAAGTGTGACATTCTGGAAAATGTCCTTCATGTCCAGGAATCATTTGTATTGCAACCACAAGGTGGTGTGTTGATGTCACCAAGTATTTGCTCTGGTAACACCTTCAGCAAAGTAGTTAGCCTTCAAGAAAAGGGAGGTAACAGGAGATCCAGTGCTACAGAGAGAAAAACAGTAAAGACAATGGCTGGAGTTGCACTCAGGCAATGGGGGGTGTTAGCTTACCTCTGTTGATTGTTTTATGTACCCTGTGTTTTCCTATAAAAACTTTGCTTTAGTGGGAAAGCTATAAAACCACTGAACCCGTGCAATTTCTCTGCTTCAACAGTTCTTCCCTGAATATTTTGGA